AAACCGAAGGCTGCCATCAAGGAGGACATTCCCTACGGTATTCCGCAACTTAGCTGCAACCGCCACTTTTCGAAAGGCACCGGGTCAAGGACGTCCCAGGATTAATAGGGAAGCGGAGGTCCTTGACGCTATTGAACAAGATCCTACGACTAGCATACGGAACATTTCAAGGCAAATAAATGTTCCTCGGCCAACGGTACTACATATCTTAAAGATTTCCTTAACAGAATTGATTAGATGTGCTACTAACATTTCAGGTTGGAAGAATATTAAAGCGACAAGGTCTACATGCCTATCACTATCGACGTGTACATGGCTTGATACCAGAAGATTTTGCGCCACGTATGCAATTTTGTCGCTGGATTTTGTCGCTGGACAACGAGCAAGCTTCCAAAATTTTGTGGTGTGACGAAGCTACTTTTACCCGAAATGGAAAATTAAATTTTCATAATTCTCATTATTGGGAAGAAGAGAACCCACATGTTGTTCGGAGAACAAACTTCCAGCAACGGTTTTCCATAAATTTATGGGCGGGAATAATTCACGACACTCTGATTGGACCTATTGAAATTCCACAACGTCTCAATTCAAATCTTTATTTAAACTTACTTCAAGAAAATCTTCCCCAAATTCTCGATGATCTGCCTCTAAATTTACGACGTAACATGTTTTTTCAACACGATGGAGCCCCGGCACATAGTGGTCGCAATGTTCTAAATTTCCTAAACGAAAATTTCGCTGGACGGTGGATAGGGAGGCACGGACCGGTAGCTTGGCCGCCGCGTTCTCCCGACCTAACCCCGCTGGACTTCTTTTTCTGGGGATATCTAAATCAAAAAGTTTACGCCACCGAAGTCGATACCCGTGAGGAATTGCTGCAGCGTATCAATGATGCAGCCAATGAAATTCGTCAAAACCGTTTTAGCATCTTAATAGCTTCGAGAAGTGTTACACGTAGGGCAAGACTTTGTATCAGAGAAGGTGGAGGGTTTTTTGAACAGTTTTTAAAATAGCTTGTTGTCTGTTATCAAAATTAAGTTTCCATCTTATGATCCCTTCGAAAAGTGACGGTTGCAGCTAAATTGCGGAATACAGTGAGGAATGTCCTCCTTGATGTCAGCCTTCTGTTTGGAAACCTTCTGCCGTACTCGCGTTCTGCCGCGCAGCATTACCATCGCAAAAGCCATAAACAAATCATCATATCATAATTGTTCTACATCAATAATGTGTATTACTGATTACGTATTAAATTATTATTATTATTTTTTGTTTAAATTACTATGAAATTGACCAAAGTGGGATTAATTCAAGAGCGATTTTCTCAGAAACCGTTAAAGATAACGATTTGAAACAAGAGTACCTTTTTAACGTAAAACAGTTCGGGAAAACGGAATTTGCTGTCCAATTTGTTAAAAAGTCAAAGATGAAAAAGTTACACACGCAAAGTACCAAGGGCCCCCCCGTACCCACCCCAATGGACCTTGTGGAAATAATTGGATTAGTCCATCAAATTGCTCATCAAAATTTAGCTGTGTATACCAAATTTCATTCATTTATCACAACGCGATTGAGAGATATTGCAAAAAAATGATTTCCATTCCTCCCTCTTCAATGGGTACCTGTGCCCTTAGGAAGCATTTCCGGACCCATGTTCATATGAACTTTTTTACTTAGTTTTGATCATAGAATCGGCAAGTTCAGGGTTGGCAGCTAATTATGAGACACCCTGTATAAAATTTTTCGTTTGTTGTGTACAGGGTGTTCCAAACTCGATAGTATGGGCCTACGGTGAGGATACAATAAATTTAAATAAAATTTAGGACACGTGGTGTTAATCTAAAGTATTTTATCTTTGGGATTTGACAAAGGCGGCTAATGACGTCATCAATTATATTTTTTCCAGAAACTCCCGATTTTTTTTTCCTGTTAAAAAGCTGTCTTTTTTCTAATAAACTTTTATCAGAGAAATTTTTCTGTATTACTTCCCGTTTAAAAGATATAAGCAATATCGTCCTAATGAGTCTCAAAAGAAATACCACCCAAAAATCACATTAGCGGTGTAGTCGTTCGAAAATAATTGAATGTTCGTTATTTAAAGTGCATAAATATCACTAAATACTTGTCATTGCTCAATACGAACGTCAAACGTATAACTTTCGTGCTTACAAAATGTTTTCTCATTCAGAAAAGTTGATATGTTGCTAATTTACGGTGAATCACAAAAAAGAGCTTTTTGACAGGAAAAAAATTTGGGTATGTTTCTGGAAAAAATGTAATTGATTTGAGTAGCCCCATACTATCGAGTTTGAGCTGTTTAACCCTGTACTAAAAATGTTGCAAGCCCTTGTCACTAGCCTTGTAGATATGAATGTGGAATTTCTACATTTTCATATCAAGTAAATTCCTATTTCTATAGATTTGGCAACCTTGCGACTACTACTTTGTCAAATTATGGATATAGAGCAAGGTCGTGATTTAGAGCTTTTTGTAGCATTACGTTTCTTACTCTAAGCATTATCTAATGTGAGACATTTGCGCTCTCATAGTACCAGCCGTAAGTGAATTTCAAAAATCACTCCACTTTCAAATTTAATCTACGAAACCGTTTACAATACAATGCAATACAATACAAAACAATACAATAAAGATAGGAGAAGTAGGACCATACAATCACAGGTCAACAACCCCTTTGAGACGACCAGCATTTCGAGGAGAAAATATATCCAGATTTAATGCAAAGGCCGCTCAGGATCTCTGCGGACCCATCATGCGTGGCGTTCGAGCGTCAGCCCTTACAACTTATTAACCCAGATCGGATACCAGGATAGACCGTGTAATATATTCCAAATTTTAAACTTGCGTTATATCAATCGCTTTACAAATCAATACTCATTTAATGTCTGTATCATATTTTCAATAAATAAATGCCACTTTTTAGAAAAGTCAAAACATTGTCTACTAAATCTACTACTCCTTTGTTCGCGGCCTGGACAAAGGCAGTAATCAGCACCGGAGTACTATACACGCAGTGCTAAGGAACTAAAAGCGCAAAAGAAGACATCAAATTTTTATAAATTGATTTAGCTGAATATCTATTCAAAAATATTTCATAAAACAACTTAATTTGTTTTAATTACCTTAATATCTTTACAGTAGAGTAAAATTTGGAAGCTAATAATAGAATGTTTCTTAAAAAGATTGTCATGGATAATACGCCTTACCGGTGTCGACAACAAAGTGGCCAATATGCAGGATGTTCCTAAATAAGTGTCGCAACGGAAAACTGTAAATTCCTCTTGGAAAGAGAAACATATTTTTCCTCTTCCATTTTTCTCTCCAGGCTTTCGTTTTCGAGATACACAGTGTCAAAACTTTTTTTTCAGATATTTGCCAATATCTTAGGAACCGTTTGAACTACAGGACTGAGCTTTTGTACACACATTACCACTATTAATAGCTACTTGTTGCAAATGCTGTTCAATTCTTTAAAATTTTTAATTATTACTACCCATCTTTTAAATTACAAAAGATTTTCGAAACGTTAGCAAAATGTTTGTTTTTGTTCATAAAAAGTCATTTTTCTTGAAAACGGTTGACTTTAGTGCAATGAACCAAGAGAACTCTTTTTGTGTAAAATTCATTATCGCGTCAAATGTTAATTTTTCCAGTGGCGTAAAAGTTAGGGGGAAAAAAACCCTTACGATACCTTAAAATCTCCACCACTGGCACGTTCAATGAATTCGAGAAGGGTGCGAAAAAGTAGCTATTACTAGTGGTAATGCGTGTACAAAAACTCAGTCCTGTAGTTCAAACGGTTCCTAAGATATTGGCAACAAATTAAAAAAAAATAAAGTTTTGACACCGTGTATCTCGAAAACGAAAGCCCGGAGAGAAAAATGGAAGAGGAAAAGAATGTTTCTCTTTTCAAGAGGAATTTACAGTTTTCTGTTGCGACACTTATTTAGGAACACCCTGTATAAATGGAGAAAGGAGGAAATTATGGAATGGTTTAGTGGAAAACATATTGAATATAAAGACACGATATTAAATGTACAGTTATTAACAATTGTTCAACACTGCGTGGCAAAGGCCACTTGTCAGTAAAAGTACTGGCTACTTCCCATAACAAAAAAAAAAGAAGAAAAAATAACAGCAGGTGGTAGTAGGCCATATCTAGTAGAATATAACTTTGTTTTTTACCAAAACGGACATATTTATTTGGTATTAATTTTTGGAACTCTCTGAAATTATACGCCTATGGAATATCATTCCGCGCACGCCTTCTGAGAATGAGTCTCTCCCTATTATTTTGGACCTTGAGGTGGTAATTTTTTTTTCTTATGGAACACATTTTAATTTTCTTTGTCATTAGATCCTTTATACTGTTTGTACTGTAAAAAACACTGCTTTTATAAGCTTTTTTACAAGTTTTTTAAACTTGCCTTTTTAGTATGGGTCAAATCTTGCAACTGAATTGTAAAACAGTTATCCGCAACCGATTGAGCTGAAATTTTGCATACACGTTTATTTTGGATGACAATGCATGGTTATAGTAGTGACGCCATTCTAAATCCAATATGGCTTTCTCCCAAAGATGGCGGACCGGTTATTTTTTATGCACCCCCATGATATGGGCATCAAACGAAAGAGTTTGCTGAGAAGAATACGAAAATAAACTGACGTCAGTAAAAGCTTGTTTTAATTTTTTTTATACATAAACTTATTTTTATTTTAAAAACGTAAAATTGACCAATCTCTCTCCTTTGAAACACTCTCGATACATAATTTTGAATTGTATTTTATAATAACACTTGTACTAAGTTTTCCAAGTTGCATTTTTTTAATTTTCTGTAAAGAGGGTATTTCAAATAGTGCAAAATTTAGGTTAAGAATTTTTTATGTCACAATCACAAATATGAGAATTAACTTTTTTTTAATATTGGCACATGGGATTTTGACAACACAAGTGAAGCTCTAGAAAATAAATAAACTTCAGCATTTGAAAAAGTTTAATATCACAGTTATCTCTAGAACTACATACAAAGTAATATGTACATATTAACAACAATTCGTTTTCGCTTGGACATTATTTATAAGTACTAAACACTATAAGTACTATATGAAATAAATAAACTACCTACATACTCTACAAAAATACAAAACTTCCGAGTCTTTCTAACGATTCTTCTACAACCAATATAAATACTTTGGCAGATTCAACAATAATTACAAAATACGCAACCACTTCGGTCAAGTTAACAACAATAAATACAAAAATACTGATTAAGTAGCATAACGGTGGCACCATGAAGAAAACAAACGCAATGTTTACAATGTTTTTGAACGCCCATTGGCCCTACTGATTTAAAAAATCACCAACAAAGGAATATCAATGTCATTCCTTTTTTGTAACTTAGATTAACTCTACAAGTAACCCCGTTCCAATCCCGCGCGAAAGACCGCTAGTGTAAGGCAGCTTAACCAAGGCCAACTTCGTTCCGAACGTGACAATTCACTTCAGTCACGCGTCCTGATGCATCTCGATCTGCTTCTTGATGCAGGACCGGTTTCTCAGCAGCTCGTCCACCTCGTCCTCGTTGTAGAACACCACGAAGTCCTTGGGGGACAATCCCTCGAATACGGAGCTTACGGACGGCTTCAGGTTGTAGAAGAAGAGGGGCTGGTCCCTGGCGGCGAAGTCTTGCGTCAGGCTCTCGACGACGGTGGCGGCGGTGTAGTCGGCGCCGTAGATGTGGGAGCAGTCGATGACGACGGGGATGCCTTGGCGGATACTTTGTTTGGTCACCAGGTTGCGGACGTAGTCGACGGAGGGAAAGATCAAGCAGCGGTCGGGGGTCAGCATCAGGTAGTCGATGCCTCCGGCGGACTGAAAAAAAAAAATCGTTAGGTAAGCTACGTAACCAAATTACACTTGGAGAAAAAAAAATTGTTACCTGAACTTTTATAAGTGGAAATGGCTTATAATAAACCTAAAGAAAATAAATGCTTGAGCTGGGGTGGTGGAGGGTTGATTTGGGCGGGTTGAAAAGTTGTGAAAAATTGTATCTTTGGGATTTCTGGCGAAAGATGACATCAAACAAAAAAGTATATAATACAAAAGTTGTAGATCAAGCAAAAATCTACAACTTTTGCAGAAGTCACTTTTTAAGATAACCTCAAAATTTCCGAGAAAAATGCGAAAAACAGTTTTTTTTCTGATTTTTCGTTTTTTATTTCTCATTACCACACAAATAATTTAATTTTAACGAAACTTGGTAAAATACCTTTCTGTCTTAAATATCCACAAATTTTTTAGATAAAAATAGTTACGAAAGTTCTGAAATATTCATTTTTTCCGGTCTGAAACACTTTTTTTTCAAAGAAAAAAATTCAGCAATATAAACTGCAAAGTCTACTGTTGACGCGAAACCCGAAATTTTGCAAAATCGTTTTATTTTTTTTCTGGCTTTATTTGAAAAGGAATTTTAAAATAAATTGCATATTTACATTGCCACTTTTTTCGCTCTATCCAATGTCGTCAACGTTTTTGCAATCCGACATTTCGTCTTCGAGGGGCCATCCTCAGATTATTTTTATAAATATGTCGCTGTTATTTTTCTGACAAAAACTAGTCATTTTTAATTCTGAATTAGATTATATTACTATTGTAATCGCTTAAAAAAGGTTTTTAGCTATCATTTAAAATAAAAGTGGCATTGTAAATATGCAAGTTATTTTAAAATTCGTTTTCAAATAGTCAGAAAAAAAATTAAACAATTCCGGATATTTCCGGAACTACCCGGAATTTTAAAATTTTCTAAACGGCATATTGTTAGGTATAAAAAACACAACTTTTTTCTAATGTCCTTATCTTAGACACATCTATGAATTCATCAAAATTTAAAAAAAATAAGTACACTAATCGATCCTACCGAAAAAAAATTATTATTTATTTTATTTATTCACTATTCGACTTATTAATAATTACCGGAAGAACTTTGTACGATGATTTTTCTAAGTGATTTTTCTTTGAAGAAAAAGTGTTTCCAACCGGAAAAATGAATATCTCGGAAACTGATTTTTTTATCTAAAAAATTTGTGGTTATTTAAGACAGAAAGGTATACTTTCACCAAATTTCGTTAAAATTATTTTTGCCGAAATGAGAAATAAAAAACGAAAAATCAGAAAAAAACCGCTTTCCGCATTTTTCTTGGATATTTTGAGGTTATCTTAAAAAGTGTCCTCTACAAAAGTTGTAAATTTTTGCATGATCTACAACTTTTGTATTGGATACTTTTTTGTTTGACGTCAACTTTCGCCAGAAATCCCAATGATACAATTTTTCATAACTTTTCAACCCCCCAAATCAACCCTCCGCCGCCCCTGCTCACGCATCGTTTATTATAAGCCCCTTTACCATTTCCACTTATAAAAGATCAGGTAACAATTTTCTTTTTTTCCCTCTAATTGAGTTAATTCGATCAGTCTATTTGTTTCATGTAAAAATGGCATTTATAAATATTTGAATTTTAAAACTCAATGAACTAAAAATTTCTCGTAAAATAATTGTTGGATGTTTTCTTTTCAATGTGTTCTTTGTAAAAATGAATAATTCGGTATTTTGAGGAAAACAGACGAGTACATCATATTATCATGTGTCATATACAGAGCTTTTGTAAATGATTACAAGCCAAATGATCGCAACCGACATTGCACGATTGGCACTGCCAACTAAAAAAAAGCAAAGCGTGCTATAATATGCAGTGTGGACCATTTTGGTGATGCATTTATTGGTATCTTGGAAACTACACACAGCAAAAAAATTAAGTGAAAGGAAAAATGTCCAAACTTTTTTAGTAATTTTTGAAAGGCTTTAACTTTTTTAGGTGAATAATGGTCATATCGAGAAAAAAAAGAAGCAACTTGAAACTTGAAGTTTTGAAATCTTGAGATGAAAAATTTTTTTGAATATACTCTGCGCTATAAAAAAGTAGGTAATGCAAGGCAAAAATTTTACAAAAATTTTTGTTTTATTTTTCTTCCAATTTCGCGTTAAATATTCATCAAATATCGAAAAAAAAATTCAAAATTTTGAAAAAAATTAAATTTTTCAAAAAATTTTTACTTTATTTTTTTCACAATTTCACATGGAATACTTATCAAACGTAGAAAAAAAAATTGTTAATAAAATTTAAGATTATTTTTAGGAAAAAAATTGGTAATTTTGAAATAAACTGTTTTTTTAGGGCTTTAACTCGATGAAATACGCGAAGAAAAAAATCGCATCAAAACCGAACAGAAAACGATTCAGTATAGTTTTCTGAATTTTGAAGGTATTTTGGAATCAAAAAAAAAAAATTTTTTATTTCAACATTTGTACGTTTGAAATATTCAGTTAAATTGTAAAAAAGATAACGCAAATTAATTTAGAAAATTTTGATTTTTTTTCAAAATTACATTTTTATTTCAAAATGTAGAATTTTTTATTTTTCGATATTTGATGAGTATTTATCACAAAATTGTCAGAAAAATAAAAAAAAAAAAATTTCATCTCAATCATCATTAATTGATGTTTAAGGAGCAATAAACTTGCTCCTTTTATTTTTTTTTTATAGAATTTTGACGATTCATGAAAGGAAAATGGTTCTATCGATCGATTTCAAAATCTACAGGCATCATGGGCATGTATTGAACTAAAAAAAAACTATAAACGTTGGTACTTTTCACAATATTCGCAAACTAGGCTATTCGCCCTTGAACAGGATTGATTCAAGTTTCAAAACCCACCTTCTTCCATTCATTGTACGATCATTAGTTCATGAGATATCGATGACACATTTTTCTTCATTCGAATAACGCAAAGCGTAATTTTTTCACTCAATGCCATGACGTTGATGATAAGCTTTTACAAAAATTTTTGGACAATTCCAGAACAGTTTCGAAAAATTATGCGATGTTGCCAGATTTATAAAAAATATTAAAATATTGACTCGTGAGGTTGTTTTTAAAATATTTTCTTACTTATATTATTGAAAAGTCAAAAAAATGCTCTATATGCTCAGCTTAAAATTCAATAGGGCGCCCATAAGAAAAAATGATGATGGTTTCCCGCAACCGAAACGTCGCTATGAAGATCTAAATATCTTTTTTTACGCAAAATAATAGTAACACTTACCCGCAATTTTTCCACGCTGATTTTAGGTCTAGCGGCATGGTACAGGATGAACAACAAATTAATGCCTACTCCGATGAGGATTCCTATTTCCAGAGCGAGCACCAAGCAGGCTATGAACGTTGCGAAACCCAAGATCAAGTCGCTCTCTGTAACAAAAACAAATAAATCTAGTACGAGCCCGCAAACAGAGCAACTAGGCAAGTGATAGTCGTTACAGAATGTTTTAATGGTTATTTAATTGTGTAGAAGGTGTTCCAAATTTAAAACTATTGCCACTAAAAAATTGAAAAAAAATCGAAATTTTCTGTTCTTATTTAGGTTACAATTTTATGTTTCAGATTCAAGAAGTGTTTGGATTTTACTTCTTTTTTCTGTTTATCTAGTCAATATTATTAATAACATGGAAATACCACTGTGAACATTACTTTTTGTTGATATTTATTTGAATCACCCTGTATATTAAGTGCCAGTTAACTTTAATGCTGATTCATTACGTCAAAAAAGGAGCTGGATACCATTTAGAATCAGGTTCTTTTACGTAAAAGGTTTAAAAAAATGTGAAATATGTGGTAAAATGTTTAATATATACAGTAATATTCAAATTTATGCTTACGTAAATTAGAAATGTAGCAATTTATGCAAAATAACCTGTCGCGTATGTTTTATTATTCCGTTTTGTTTGTTTACCGTGAATTTTGTATCAGACATTAAAAAAATTAAACAAAGCCTATACCACTTCAACAAAGTGGTAGTAAGTCATTTTAAAAACATTCTGTATGGGAAAAAGTAAAAGTTCGTGTATAAATTAAGTATTCTTATATACAGGGTGTTATTTTACTGATCTAAAGCAGTAAAAATTAAACAAAATAGAATACTTTTAAAATACAGCAAAGCTACTTACTTTTCGACCTCCACATGGGCTTGACCACCTTGACCTCCACCATGAAGATGACGGCGGCTATGATGACGGCAGCCAGCGTGGCCTTGGGTATGAAGGAGAAATAGGGGGTAAAGACCAGCAGCGCCGCGATGACTAGGATGCTGGTGTAGAGTCCCCCGAGAGGCGTGCGCACGCCACTGGAATTGTTCACGGCGCTCCTGGACAGAGAGCCCGTACTCGGGAAGGCCTGCACGAAGGAGTTGGCCAGGTTGCATACCCCGATGGCTATGAACTCTTGGGTGGAGTCCACCATTTTACCGTTCGCTAAAATAAACGAAAGATGGCGTTAGTTGAAAAACTCGCCCATTTGCATTTTTTCTAATGATGTTATATAACAATTATAATAAACAGGCCAATTTACAGAGCCGGACGTCAACTTGAATAGAATAATCTTGCAGAGAAAATATATGACACTACATTTAGAAAAATTTATAGATATCGGTTAATGTGACACAATACGTTGAACAAATCAAACTGCTGAAGTTTTTTGTAGCTCTTTTAATAGATCTCGCAGATTCGTCGGTTTTTTGCTCTACAACATCTTCAGAAAGTGCAACAGGTGGTTGAGTAATAATGCTTGTACTCACCAAACGCCTTGCAGACGGCGATATTCTCCAACAGCGTTATCAGCGGCACCACTATGATCCCGCTACCCAGATCGCTGACCATTTGGAAGAAAGTCTGCGTGATCATGGTTCCGTTGATCTCCTGGGTAAAGCCGAAAGGTGGTAGTTTAACAGTCGGCATGCCCTGGGGGACGGCACCGATGACTTTAAAAGGAACTGGCCCATTGAGCCAGAAGCTGTATCCTATGAAACCGCACACTATTACCAAGATGGCGTTGCGGGCAGTCCCGATCAGCCACAGGGCCTTGTTGATAAGTTTTTTGATGCCGCTCGGTTCTACTTCATCGAATTTCGGTTTCAGCTTGAGAGAACCGATGATCTGAAACGAGAAGAACGTGTTTTGTTAGTGCGGGTTACCTCTTATAACGTAAAGGCTCACTTCTGAAGCGCCTTAGCCTAGTGACGTCACCGTTAGTGGGTCTAATCGTCAGTGCGTGTTGTATCGTGCCGTTTCATTGCTTTATCGAGTTTAATATATAACTACTTAAGTGACGTCACTCGCAAAGCGTTTAGGCTTTGTTATTTATGTGGTAGTGATGTATTATACCAAAAAGGACAGTATAAAAATGTCACTTACTCTTAATATCAGTAGAACGGCTATGCATGTTATACCCAAAACGGCGTCCCATGCTTGGGTGTTGTGGATGTCCTGAAATATGTTCTTCCACGTGTCCACAAAGGTTGTGCCCGATCCCTTGGTGCCTAAAACGTCTTTCACTTGCGACGTCACTATGATGAGCGCTACGGCTGACGTGAAACCTGAGGAAACCGGTCCTGATACGAAATCTATCAGGAATCCTGCAATATAAAAGAATACATGTGCATTTTTTCGTTTAAATATATTTCGGTCGCCGAAATTGAAATTATCATAAGTTATAAAAGAGTTGTTCAAGAAATTACGTGAGGGTTAAAAATTCCTAATTTTTTTGCTTTCATTTTAAATTTATCTTAAAATAAAATTAGTATGTGACCAACAATACAGTCGTGCTATTAGAATTGAATGGGAGTGGGGATAGGTGCGGCTAGCCGACCTTAGGATAAAGCTAGGCGCAGGGGATGTATGTCAGTATCTTTTTTATTTTCCAATGAATTAAAAAGAAAAAAAAATGCCTCATGCTGTAAAAATAATACGAAGAAAATATATGAAATAAAAAGAAATGCTGAACACATTATTGAACTATATTTGAATTATAAAATACTACAAAATTTATCGTATCACTCACCTAATCCAAAGAGCCCCATGAGCACCTGAATCAGTCCAGTCAAGCAACACAACAAAATGGCGTGCTGGGGCCCGTGCCCATTGACGACCTGGAACGTCAACAGGGCGGAAATGGCCGACGGCCCCATAGGGACGTCCTTACTGCTACCGAGGAAAATATACACGAAGCAGCCCAAGAACGAGCTGTAAAGTCCGTATTCTGCGGGTAGACCCGCGATATTCGAGTAGGCCAAGGCCTGGGGTATGACCGTGAGACCCACGGTGATGCCCGCCACCAGGTCCCCCACGGCCATGGAGGAGTCGTAGTTGGTCATCCAGTTGAGGAACGGCAGTCTTCTGTAGAGCATCTTCTTCGAGCAGGCGCCCCGAGCTTTCCTCTTCACCCATGGCACCGCCGACTTGATCGCCTCGACGGCGGTATTCTTCTTTTTGGTGTTGTCTATCACTGCAAGAGAGGTTTTGATCAGTACAACAAGGAAAGCCGGTTAATGAAACGCAGTTTGAACGATTGTTGAAGGGAATATTTTAAATCCAAAATAGTAGGAGGTGAGTGTAATGTGCTCTTCATTTGGCATAGTGTTCCAATATGTTCAGCCTGAGTGATCACACTTGGAGCAAATCTTTCGTTCTCAGAAAATTGCTTAAATGTGTACAACCATTTGGTGTCTTTTACAATAAAGAATGTAATGAAAGTGGAAATATTAATATTCGCGGAGGTAGATAAAAAAATACCACAATAATAAATTTAAGTACGGTGCAAATGAGCATAATCTAAGCTCTATGGACTGAAATAGACTGACATTGAGTTATTTTTATAGATGAATTAAAAGGACCCCGCAATAATCTTATGGAAATTGGGTTTCTGTCAAATTGTCTGAATTTTTGATATGTTGTAGATTTTGTCATCCTGAACAAAAGTCTCCATGGGCACAAAGTGCCAAAATGAACATTTTGGCAGCTACGGAGCTGCCAAAGCTCCCCTGACCCGTTGCAAAACTATTCATTTTCAATACTATTTACAGATGTCAAAAGCATATTTTAATTATTCTAATATATAGGGTAATGTTTCTGAGGTCACTGGATTCAACCCTCTTGTCAGATTGGACAAATTGACCGTTGACAGCTGTCAATACACTGTCAACGAAGAATAGAAAAGTAAATATTCTCTTTTCACATTGAGAGTTTGGGCTTTTGAGGTCACTGGATTCAACCCTCATGTCAGATTAGCAAAATTGACAGTTGACAGCTGTCAATTGACTGTCAACGAGGAATATAAAAGTAAATATTCTCTGTTGACATTGAGAGTTTGGGTTCTTGTGGTCGCTGAATTCAATTCTCATGCCAGATTGGAAAAATTGACAGTTGACAGCTGTCAATGTGTGTGTTGAAGACTATAGCAGAATAGCCAATAGAAATAAAAAAAGCGTTTCATAGGGACAGTTCTGATGAAACTTTCGTGACACAAAATATGTAATACAATATTTGAGAAATGTTCCTCAACGAAACATTTGCACGTACCAAAAGAGGAACAACGATTTCCGTAAAGCAGCAGACAACATACAAATAAACGTTAATCATAGTAATCTAATCGTTTTCAACTGTAACACCTTCTATATTTAATAATTTTGAGCACCCTTTAAAATGATACGCCCATGGGATTGTATTCCCCGCGCGCCTGCACGTTGGAAATGACTCACCGCCTACTATTTTAGACCTAGAATATAGCTACAAATAAACTATTCGGGGTCTTCCATGAATTCAAGTGATTCTTACCAATAAAGTCATTGCTTCCCATAAACGTGGATTCAGGTCTCACATTAATGCTCGTACTTGAAATGTTGAGACCCGGATTGTTGTACCCCGAGGCAGAACCGCCACCACCAGCTCCTTGAAGGTCTCTTTCCGTGACTTGGTGGACTCCTCTGCAACAAGAAACAGACGACTCAGTAAATGAGTAAAAAAAAGTGAGAATTTTCGAAATTTCTATACACATTTGGCTCGAACGTGTCTGAAAACCCTAATAGCGAACCGATCGTGTATGGCGTCCTTTACAAACAGGTTACTATTTCGATAAGCCGACGAAAATGGTGCCTCCTTGTCTGGCGTTACGACCACGTTATGGATATAGCTGTTTACGTGATTTACGCGGTCATTTAAATCGTTATTATCTTTGTCGGACATTAAAATGTATGTAAATAATGTTACTTTGTTAAATATTTCATTTCTTAACGGCCTTTGTGAATTGTTGCCCATGGATCGGCCATTATTTGGCACAAATATTGTCCGAAGGTTACCTACATATTTTTTAGCCTTTGGTGAATAGGTCCTAGTGTAATCTAAGGCGTTATATACTTGAAGTAAATTTTCAAGTCAGAAAACATTGTTTAGAGTTGTAGTATAAATGTAAAGTATATGTAATTAATATTTTTTTGCGAAAAAATTGGGGAGAAAAGAGTCGGACTTAAAATAAATGTGCATGGTTTATTATACAGGGTGTCCCAGAATATGTGAGCAGGATGTCCCAGAAAATCGGTTTTTTTAATAACTTTTAAAATACTTTGTGCAATTTAATTATTTTTTAATACGGTGAACAACAGATAAGACTTCTTAAAAACTGACCCATGAAAATAATTTGACTTATTTGGGCTGCCAGGGACAGATTAGCTGTAGCACAATGATGTCAAAATAAAGGCAAAAAATTGTATTTTTAGATAACTTGAACCTTCACCTAAAAAAGGCACTCTTGCTTGATATCGATAAAATGAACTGTTTTCGAGAAAAAACTATTTTTGTTTAAAATGATATTTTATTACATCCGGCGTAAAGAGAAATTTGCATTCTTTCTGTGCCTACTTACAAAAATGCTACTTTTATTTAAGTAAATTTTTTTTCCTAAAAATAATTAAATTACACAAAGTATTTTAAAAGTTATTAAAAAAAATCGATTTTTGGGGACCCTCTAGGGAAACTTTTTATAGGAACTTGTCATGCTATTTTAACGTCCACTGTATAAATCCGAGAGATAGCCCACATATTTTGGGACACCCTGTATATATCGGTGTAAACCGCCTTGTTTGATTTATAGTTCAATGAAATAATCCCCTAAAAGACACACAAAAAAACGCCGTCCGTGAAAATAACAAATCGAAATAAATACGTCAAATTCGGTCCGTGTTGTGTTGCTCCTTTCGGCTCTTACCCGATCAGTGTTGCCAACTTCTTGAAATCAAAATTTCCACACTGTTGAGTAAATTTCCTCGTTTTTCCCGTCCGTGATTTGAATTCTGTCATACCTTTTTATTTTTCCCCTCGCATTCATGTTTGGTTTATACAAAATTAAATATAAATAAATAATTTTCTGTTTTGAATTTTCAATTTTTTTTTGTTGATTTATTTAAATAAAAGGCAGAATATATAAATAACAAATTTATTACCGTTGACTACAACCATCATGTCACAGACTGTACATTATTTAAGCCACACCACAGAATAAACACAGAATACAATATTTACAGAACATAACCATGAACCATGAATCACAAAACATAAAGAATATCGAGAAAAACGTTATTTAGATTGCTAAATATTCTGTCGCGTTAACAATTCATACAGAATTTTCTCATACTGACATGTACTTTTCTCTTTCCCCATGTTTACAATTTTATCCATAAATTCTCCGCAATATGGGAAATTTTCCACGAGTTGGCAACACTGTGCCCGACAAACGGTGATCGCGGAGCAGTGATGCCAAATGAAGTAGACTTGAAAATACCTAGATGTTAAGCGCCATTATTCCATGGCTAGAAATTGGCCTCAATGATTTGGGATCGAGGGGGATTATCCCTCTTTATCCTGCCTCATCTCGTGTAGGCCTGGACAGCCTTCGTAGGTGGGCCCCATCCGTCGTCTACCCCGACCGCAAAAGCGGCAGGTGTAGGCGCTTTGTGGGACCTCCTTTTGTCCTGGCTGGGCCCCGCCGGCTAGGGCCCTTTCTTCTGGCAGATGTTAGGCGGAAATGTTGTAATGTGTGTTATAAATTTAATTTACTACGTAAATTCGTGGGGAAATGGTGAAATTGCAAAATTTATCGAAGCGAACTACTAAAAATGTTTCACAAGTATGAAGTATTTTCCCCTAGAACTAAGGAAAAATACCCAAATCTGGCATAACTGTCGTAACTGGTAGCCGGACTCAGTTTACTACACTATGTCGACACAAAATATATGTCGACACAAAATATTTCACAACACAATAGTATTGCTCTAAATTAGATAAATTCAAAAAAATATCCTGTCAATATTGTTTAAATTCATATTATTATACAAAAGAGTGCAAAATAACATCAATATATATACAAAAGAGCCTATATTCAAGATACTGGAAAAAATCGATAATATCATTTTATTTATATCGTGTATTTTTTTCTTAAAAATATAGTTCAAAATCCATTTTTTACTTTCTTTCTAGCCATTATTTAAAAAAAATACAAATTTAAGTCAATTTTCAAAAAAAAATCCCATTCGTATAGGTATTATTAAGCATTGCATCGAAATTAAAAAAAAAAATTATACAAGCAATCGTGTTAAATAAATAGACAGATATGTCTCCCTTAATTTTAATACCAATTTGAATAAATCACCATAACTTACTAATGGTTATTCGATTTCTTCCACGAAAACCAACGGGTAATTATCAGGTGCTCGCAAAGCACGAGTTTTGTTTTATAAAAATATTCCGCGTATACTCATTTGTTTACTAGCAAACCACGACCTCCGCTTTGCGGTCACGTGACGTCTAATATCCGCCCCGTCGTCGCTTGATTGCTTTTCTACATTCCTTCATTAGAACCGTTTTAATTGTTTACACGAAATAGTTGGTAGCGGATCGTTTGCGTATCTCTCTCACGATTTATTCCGATCGGACGAGATGATCGTGAATGTAAACGATGGCATAAGCTAGAAGCATAGCTAACGAATACCTTTTTATACGTCGCGTCGAACCCACGTGTATTTGGAAAGAATATAACGTTGTTTTTTTATCACTGAAATTAACAGAAAGTGGTCACAATAGTGCTGTAATTAGAAAGATGTCTTTAAAAATATTAATACGAGCGTGATTCAGGACTGGACGGGGCTTTAGTTCGCAGAGTAGTTGTCTCTCACAATATCGTTAGTTTAAAAAATATATTTATGTCAATTTTTTCATTGTGAGATTTTCTCTTTATACAGGGTGTCCCATTAGACATATTTCAGGGACTACTTCGATTTTAATTTTGAAAATTTGGGCAATAATGTTTTCGGGCATGCCCTTATCAACTAAAATAATGGCGTACACCTAACGCTTCCTATTATACCGGAAGTTGACGTCATTTTGGTTATTTTAAATGAAATACCCTGTATATTATTGCAATTTTGGATTCTACGTCAATTTTTAGCTGAACTTTCATAAAGGTTTCCTATTCTTAAAGTTAACCGTTTTTGATATATTTTTTTGGCCAAAAACTGCCAATATCTCCATGAAGATACATTTTTTCGAAAAAAGTTTTTTGCAAAATTGCTTCTATGAAAATTTTCGATTTTCCCAATAGTTTTCCCGAATATTCTTTAAATGAAATACAATCATGTGAAATTTAGTTTTAGAGCCAAAATAATGATCAATTCATTTTTACGTGAATCAGAGAAAAGAAAAGTGCGGAAATTTTTTGGAAAATCTTATACAGTTTTCCGAGATTTGAATATTTATGAGCATCATAAGTTAATTAATTATTACATTTCCCAGAAAAATCTATTTTCTTTGAAATATTTTTGTGACGACGATGAAGCAGTTTTGCATAAGAAACCTAGATATGGAACACCATAAAAAATTGTTAAAAATAATAAATAAAAGAGTTGTTATTTAATTATAAATAAATAAAAAAAATTAGAAAATTCCTTTCCTATTGTCATCTTTAAATTTGCAATTTCATTATAATACAAATTTTTATTTTTTAATATTCAAAGTAAAAAAAATCAAGGAAAACAGATTTTTCTGGAAAATATTAAAGAGCATAATTAATTCGTAATCCTCAAAAACCTATAAAATGATACGTTTGATGCTCATAAATACTCAAATCTAGGAAAACTATATAAGATTTTCCAAGAATTTTCCGCGATTTTCTTTTCTCTAATTCATTTTTGTTATTTAAAAATGAATTGACCATTATTTTGGCTCTTAAACATTAATTTTCACATGATCTGTACTTCATTTAAAAAATATACGGGAAAACTATTGGGAAAATCGAAAATTTTCGTAGAAGCAAGTTTGTAGAAAACTTAATTTTAAACAACTTTTATTTGAAACTTTTTTTAAAGGCAGCTTCATTGATATACGAGATCGGCAGTTTTTGGTAAAAAAGCGAAAAATATATATACAATATCAATTATCTCAAAGGTGGCTGATATGTGACACATGTTTTTTTATCTCAAAACCTGCAATTTTCTATAAAAAAATCTCAGAGTGAAAAAGTTCGCTCATTTTCTGGGTGTCAAGGTTACAAAACAAAAAATCAAGTTGTGAACTTTTTTCACAGTACGGTTCAAGTGTATTGTTTGTTTAGAGTATAGATTAACTATTTCTTTTACTCTATTTTAAATTCATTTTAATTCAAATTCAATTTTTTTTCTAAAAATTCTTATCAAATCTAGTAAAACAATATTCTTCCATGTCTCTTTTTGTTAAGGGTGATAATAGAAGCGCAAGAATACAGAATATTTCTTTGAATGAGAGTTGAAGTATACAGGGTGATTCATAACTTATCCAAAAAAAAAAATTCTGGATGTACAAGGGACCCTTACAAATACAATTTTGTAAAGAAAAAATCAAAAAGGGCTGTTCGAAATTGATTTAAAAATATACTTCTGCACGGCACTGGAAACTGGTCCAC